TACTAATATAAAGAAGAGATTATAGATGATAAATGTTTTACCTTGAATATTATGTCCTATTTCTATTGCTTTTTCTTTCACATCATGACCAACAACAGCTGCATCATGTTTTAGTTCAGCGGCTTTATCTAAAAAAAATTACATTTCATATGAACAAGATATTTATATAATCAAAATGTTACCTTGAATATTATGTGCTGCTTCTTTTGCTTTTTCTCCTACGACGTGAGTAGCAGCAACTGCATCATCTTTTAATTCAATAGCTTTATCTGTAAAATATGGATTATTGGAAAGAAAATATTTAAAGGTAAAAATATTACCTTGAACATTATGTGCAGTTTCTGCTGCTTTCTCTCCTGCTACATGTGCAGCATGAACTACATCTTCTTTTAATTCAGTTGCTTTTTCTAAAAAAAAAATATTTCGTTGGAATATTTTCAGTTAACATCAGTCTACCTTGAACATTATGTGTAACTTCTTCTGCTTTTTCTTGAACATTATGCGCAGTAGCAATTGCATCATGTTTTATTTCAGCTGCTTTTTCATTTGTGACATCAACTGTTTCCTTTACTTTATCTTGTGCTGTATCAATTACATCATTAGTCTTGTCTAGAATAGAAAAGAATCTAATCTATCTTATTATTATAAACGTAAATTATCACCTTGGATTTGCTGAGATTTGTCGTCAATTGGTAAAACAAATGAAAAATTTTCATTACCAACTGTTACCTGACTATCTTCAAGATGATGAGTAATAGTCGAATGAGGATCATTTGGATTTTCAATAATTATTTGTTGTTTTTGATGATGAAATTCGGATGAATTCGGATCTTCATTATTTATCCAATTTTTTTCTCCTTCAATTACTATTTGATTACCTAATACATAAAAAAGAATTTTCAGAAATCTTTTTGTTTTCATTAAAATGTTTACCTTGTTCATCGGGTTTATATATATGTATTTCTGTTGGTACTGAATCACTTTCTGCCATTATTATTATTATTATTATTCGTTAAAAACAAGTCTAGAAGACAATGAGCACACTAAAATAGTAAAGAGTAGTAGTCACAGCTGTATATAACAACAATTTGTGATTTTCTTTCTATCCTCTAGGCTGACACTGACACAGCTGTGCATACTATTCATTTTGTTTAACGGTCTGTGTCGATTTGCGCTAGCCTAAAGGGGGATCGTTATGTGCATTGCATATAGACATACGTAGAATATCTGAAATATAAGATGAACGAGTTTAAGGAGAGAAGAAAAAAAAATGAGATGAGATAGAATGAATAATTGTATGATCGGAAATTTTGGCAGCTTGTTATCTTCTAATAACTACAAAAACAACAACAACTAATCGCCTGCCGTCAGTGACCTTCTTTCTTTTTTTTTTCATCGATATGTACGGATATATATATATATATATAATACAAAAAAAAAGAGAAAAGACGATGTTGGTAGACGAAGGAATGCATTACCACACTGATCGACAAAATATGTATTAGACAAAGAAAAAATATTTGAGGAAAATTCTTATATGAAAAGATGACTTTTTTTTTTCTTCCCTAAAATAAATGTATATGTATACATGAATGATCAATTGACCTTAACTTTTCACAAAAGATGGACATCATATCTCAATTGTATAGCATATCATCAATGGAAGAAGAAGAAGAATAGAAGAAAGAAGACCAAAGTTTATTTTGGCTTGCTGTGCTTCTATCTATCATAGATGTTTCTTTCTTATTTTTTTTCTTCTCCAGAGAGATACAGAGAGAAAAGAAGAAAAAAGACAGAGAAGTGCATACGAAAAAAAAACAACACATAACTCAGCATTTTTACCCATTTCCAAGGAATAATGACAATAAGATCGACTAATGAATATACGCCTTTATCGGTTTCTAAGCGTATGTCACAGGATCAAGAAAGACGATAACTAAACTGCACTGTTTTATCCTGTTCGTCAACTTTTTTTTTCTTCTTTCCGCGTTGTAAAAATGCCGCCTAACTTGGTGATTGTTGTTTGTACCATACCCATATATACAAAGAGAACGAGTGAAGCAATCTCTACGACTATTGACGGTAATAGTAACGACTATTCTCATTGTATGTATGGAATCATGCATCCTTGATGAGTCAGCACGAATAATATTGATGTCAAAAAACACTAGTACAGGAGAAAAAAAAGAACAGCATATACTACTATGTATGAATAGGATGAGACAAAAAAAAAATTTTTTTCTTCTTTTTTTTTTATTATCTCTAAAACAAAATATGAAGATAAAATCAAAAGAATGGAATGTAGTTTTTCTTCGAAATTAATTATTACAAAATCTGAATAATTGACTGAGATAATTATATTAAATGAATAATTTCTATCTAAAAATAAATATGTTAGTAATTACTATATATATATATTTAAATAATTCAACTAACTACGACAAAAAAAATTGATGTTTATTATTCATTAAGAAATAAATGCGTAGTACACTTTCTATTATTTTTAACTTATGGGTATTTTTCTAATGTCTTCCCTACAAAGATAAATGAGACAAGGCAACAACAATATAAACCATTTTTCTTGTGCGATAAAGCATGGAAAATACTGTCGACTTATTCAACATTGAAGATTCTATAGAAAATATTCTTTTATGAAAAATAATATTCCATAGAGAATTAAATATAATAGGAAACAAAAAATGAATGTCTAATATTCAAAATAGTTGTTAATATTAGTTGATTCCATATTCCAATAATATTTAATAATACAATCAACTATTTTTATCTTTCATTTATTTATGTAAGAATTTTATATTTATTAATATTCAAATTTTTATTTCTTTATTTACATGCTCTTAGACTTGATAGCACTCGACCTTAACTCGTATTTATATACTACGATGGTTCTATTTATAATGCTTGATAAGTTGTATTTTCTCTATCAAAACATTATATACGATGTACATTTAGAAACCATGAAGAACGATGAATATACACATCTGTAAGAATCAAGAATAATCTATTCCTATATGCTAAGCTATGCACACTAACACGGTCTTCGTATATATATATATCTGAATGTACTTGCATTGGCTCGATTAGAAATGTTCCTATATTTTTTACTACGTAAATTATAATATATAATATAAAAACAAATAGATCAGTTTAGTAATTTCATCAGTCAATGATTAATTTATTGCATAGAATTAACATTCTATCACGTTATATATATAATAATGTCTCGTCAACAATTGATAATTTTTGTTTGTATATTATTAATCTTAACTTAACGATAACATTGTATTTTGTTTTTCTTTTTAAAATCATATTTTCCTGGTATATAGATGATGATAATAAAAAAAATCCATTAATCAAAAGTAATATAGATAGATAATATTTCCAACGTATTCTTGTAATATAACACACATTAAATGCTATATTATATGAGAAAATGTTTGCAAATATGTATATAAAATTGATAGCATATGCAGATTGAATATCATTAATCGCACTAAGTTAAATAAGTAACTATTACATTAGAAAATTTTCTCATTTCGAAAAAAACAACGTGTCATATATCTGAATGGAATAGCAATGAAAAACAAAACTATTGCATTTATTGAATATATATAGAAAATGCTTTTTTCCTCTCCTCTTAGCACCATGTGATTTTCTAGATTATCTGATTTGTAAAAGTGTCAACAAATATCTTCTAAATATAATATACATAATGGTAAAAAAGCAATGTATTAGAAATAATAACACAACTAACTATTTATAATAATAAATAAGATAAAGAAAGAAACACGACGTATTTTTTTAGCGTATGAAAAAATAATATTATTAAAACAAAGTTTTCTCGAAATAGAAAATCTATTGATAGTAGATAAATCAAATCGTTCGATTTGACTAATCTTTCGTACATCGAATTTAAGAAAAAATAAGGGAAAAAAATCAATATTATACGCCTACCTCATTTATTAATCAGCTTATTTTTTATTGATAATATATTTTATCATCAATCTATAGTATTTGGAATTCATTGATTTTATCATAAAAATATGTAACTATATAATAAGAAAGATCAATTCTCTTTTCTTTCTCTATATCTCAGCATGATATATAACACCTACGTGTTGAATAAAAGCCAATTTTCAATCGAACACCTACTAGCAATCCTATATATATGTATAAAAAATAATCAGATGATCAACTTGATACATGTCATATATGTAATGTGCTTATTGCATGCAATCAGATATGAATCAATTCATAACAAAACAAACTTGTTTTTATAATAATTCAATAGATTGACAAATACATCACCTACGCAAAACAATATCGTAAATCATAGAACATAGTTTATGAATTGTAGACAGTGGCGGATTTAGGGGGGAGCAACGGGGGCGGTCGCCCCCTCTTCAGAAAACTTTTTTAATTTTTTATAGCAAAAATAGGTTCACACTTCTTCGATTGGACTCAAAAAATAGTTTTCAGCCAAAATCGCCCTCCCACCTCCAGTGGTTTATTCAGCGAGCGGAGGGAGGGGGCACGGGGCTTTTTTCTCTCTCGGAGGGTACCTCTGCTCCCCCCTCGCAATTTAGTAAAATTACGCTTTTTGCGCCCCTCCCCCACTAGAAGAGAGATTTTTTCCCTTCCGGCAATTAATTTCGCACCTTCGGACGAAAAAAGCTGGATAAAACACTGCCTGCCTCTACTCAGGCATCGCCACTGATTGTAGATATCTAGCAATAACTGATCTATCATTGACATATCAATTTTGAATATTAAACACTCATCGGATTTTGTATATTGATTTGTTAACTCTCTGAATTCTTTTTTCAATCGCCTTATTTATTTAAACTAAATGATATATCATTACTGTAAAATTATCTATCTTTTAACTTTTATTGTCGTATTTTCTATGAAATCCAAGACGCACGTGCCATTTTCGATTTACTTCCATTAACACAGATGATAGAAAAAAAAAGATCAAAACAATAGTATAACATCAAAGTTTCTAATATTGTGGTTAATATAACAACAAGAAAATATAGAAAAAAGAAGAAGAATGAAACCACCCATAGCCGCTATCACATAAAAAAAGTAATCAACTGCAATGAAATTGATATGACAACGAATATTAGACACTTATCCATTGTTGATCAAAAAGAGAATAGCGGCAATGATCTTTTATAGTAGTCGTGTTCTATCCGAAGCAATTCAAGAGTCTCATTTTTCAAAGACAAAGAACGCCGTAAACATACATATACATATATGACATTTTTCATGCTTGATCATCTAGCAGACAAATGCTACTTGATTCAATACGAAAGATAAACTTATCCAAAAAAAAATAAGAAAAAGGTGATGATGATCACTACTTGACCATTTGTTTCAATGACCTAATCAATATGGATAATGACCATCGTTTTTGACACATTTGAGAAAATAAATATGTTCGTGTCAATCAATAGACGCGTGTCACCTAGAGAGGAGTGATAAGTCAATGGATAACAAGTATGTACACTTGTTGATCGAATTAAAATTCTTCAATTTTCTTCCTGTTAAAAAGGTGACAAATGATTTTTATTTACAAGATTAAATATTTATCTAATCTTTATATATCTGTAGATCGATGAACCAATTTTCTGCTGAATTACTATTAAAAAAAAACATGAAATTACATTTCACATCATAATGTTTATATTGAAAAATAAATATTTGAAAAAAAAGACCAGTCGTTGCATCGTCTTAATAACAACCGGGGTCCAAGAACAACAATTAAAATTATTACAAGAAAAAACTTAGTACATGAGATAAACAATTCATAAATGTCATGATTCGTTGATTTGATGATGATGATGATGTATTATTAATCTAAATATAAATAAGAAAAGTTTTATTAATATTGATTATCAAATCATTCTTACGTGAAATTGTTCATCTATTTGATCACCAACTTTTCGTAATAATATTGCAATATTAATAATAGTTTCTTGTCGTTGTTGTTCTTCAATGTATATATCATTTACAAGATCAGGTAGGTTTTGTTTTTTATAATTAACTATTGATGATTGATTTGTTAATATTGATATCATGCATCTTTTTTTTAAATTAGATGATAAGGTAATTGTTGTCATTTTATTGTATAAGGAATGTGTTATGTTATTGATTGAAATGAAAAATGAGAAATGATTGAAAGAGAGAAAAGGAAAGAGAAACGAGTGAAACGCTGATTGATTGGAGGAAAATATTTTTTCTTCTCTTTCCTTTTCGTTTTATTGTATGACCGTTCAGTTTTGTTCAGCTATACATAAAATTATAGAGCGGAACACTTCTTTTCTTGTATTTTCAAAACAATTAGGATAACGGTTGCATCATACGATTAAGACATTCAAATAAAAGATAGTCAACACGAAATCTATCGTTGTACAATGGGAATAACTTCTTTTTCGAAAAAGATATCTTCTGGCATAGACCATTCCATGTAGAGTTTGTTTGATCGACATCATAATCTTTTAATTTATTGATCGGTATTGACGTAATTAACCGTATGTACTGAGAGAGAGCAGAAAAAGAGATTATCATCATCAACAACATGCATGGAGTGTGTGTGTTGAACGCGTGTAAATAAAATTCAATGAAGCTGATATAATTTTAAAGGTTATCTTATAGCAAAAATAGTCACTTGACAGTTTAACTATGTCTATGTAAAATACCAGAAAGTGTGAGAAGGAATTAGAGTTGTTTTCTGCTGCTTGAATATAAATTAATAGGTTTAATATTCAGAAAAAACTCTTTTTTTTTTAAATACATACATTCATATTTTCTATCTGATCTTATTCTTTATCAACAAACCACTCCTTTCTCTTCAATAATCTTTACATACACGTGTACAAAAAACAATACAATAATAAAGATTAAAATCTCTATCGATCACTATTGTTCTCACATATGAGTAGTATGTCTGGTCGATTTTCTCATTCTATATACACGCGATATTTTGTACCACCTACTTATCGTCTTCATACAATTGTATAGGAAATACAATATTGAATAGCAGTCACAGCACGCTATATACTTTTTTTTACACCTGCATTCAAGCAGTCATTCATATACAATGTGAGAAAAGTTATAGTAAAAAAAAAGAATTACTGACATTTTTTACTTGCGACATACTATTCAGTTAAATGCATAGCAGGGATCATTTCTTTTTTTGTTATGTCTAGAAGGAGAAGAATCTTCATTTCATGCTTGTTAAGAATCAATGATCAGTTGAATGTATGTCATTCTACTTGGTTATGCCTTTTGTTAATGACACGTGAATCTACTCAGATTACGTATCGTCCCACTTATTATATATCAACATAGTGAGGTGAGAAGAGAAAAAACTGTGCCGTATGGTAAAATTTAGTCGTCTTTTATATGGAAAATTTTCTTTTGTTTATAGCAGACAATTAGAAATAGTGATGACGGCTGAAAACCATGCCGAATAGATCAGAGACAACTAATGACCTCAAGCCATATGACGTTGATTACAGAGAATAAGTCTAAAAAAAAGAAGAAAGTAGTTGAACAGCAGATAACCTACTCAATAGCGCAATGATCCGCATACACGAGCATAACATTAGAGAAGGTGACTTGTTAAATGTTTGCCTTGCGGATAAAGAGAAAGTGCAATAGGCATATCATAAAAATATTTGTATGATTTATTTTCTTTCCTTTACCAAATTATTATTGATAAGAATTGAAAGAACATGTGATAGATCAAAAACAACTTAAGTATAGGATAAGTGATTGTTAAAAAATATGAATATAATAATTGGAAAAAAACAACTACAATGATTAAATCTTACATTTGTTTTCTATACTTGGTTGAATGAATGTAACTTATGTCAATGATACTTTGAACTGATGGGTAACAAGTTAAGGTTATCGAAAATAATGTTTATTTTTTATAGAGTATAAATGGAACAATAGAATCATATTGAGAAAAGTCACCATATACAAAAACAAAGCGAATTTATTCATAGCATATATTTCAACCAATAAAAAAATATGTAACATCATCGTGTGATATGAATTGGATTGAAACCAGTGGCGGATTTAGAGGGCGATCGCCTACCCCTTCAAAGATTTTTTATTGAAAAAATAGGTTTACACTACTTCGATTGCACTCAAAAAATAGGTTTTAGCCGAAATCACCCCCTGCCCAGGTATCGTCCCTGCCTACTTAGGTATCGCCCCCCCCCCTCCAAAATCCTAGATCCGCCACTGGATTGAATATTATAAAACAATATCGATAAGAGATGATTCTTTTTTTTATTTTCTGATTGTAGAACAAGTCACGTATGGTTCTTTACTAATATACGTGACATAAAAACAAGTATAACACACACGCACAAAAATAGACAATGAGAACACAATTCGGTATCAAGCACTAAGCTATTTTTATAGATAATATCCGCTGTAGCAAAAAAACAAACAAAACATAAGAAGAGAAATGAAGAGAAATATTTTCGGTATTTTTTTCCCTTTTAAGATGAGTATTATTAATATAGAGTGATTCGATCGTTTGCATTAAATATAAAGAAAAAATTATATACAATAGAATATAGACAAACAAAAAAAAATTCTTATTGATTTATATTATCGGACAATATGCCGGTATAGGAGAAATTCATGACATCCAATTTGAAATACTGTTCCTTGTTCGATTTGTGCAGGTCCATCCCATGCTGATTTATATAATGGCTTTGTTAAACAATAACATTTTTTAAAATTATCATTCTCTTGTTTATT